AAACTGCCAGCTGCCCTTCATTGCTTAAAGAGTGTCTTTTTACACCCAAAGGGCCAATGCTTTGAACATGGCAAAAGTCGAAACTTCTGCAAAATTTCATTTGCTTTGGAGGTGGCTGGGCCTGATTGGCTTTAATTTGTGAGGCCATCCATAAGTAAACAGGAATTTTCCTCCCCCACTCAGCCCTGCTTTTCCCTGTCATCGTAATAGGGCTTAGATTGCAGCCAACTCAGTCATTGACAGGCTGATGCAGCTGAAACAATTGTGATGTCGTTACTGCCGTGAGATGCTGAAGATAGGCTAGACATGCAAATGTCTTGGAACAAACAGAGCCAGCAAGACGATTTAAAATGCCAGTAGGCAGCGGCCAGGACGTTCTCCCACTGTAAAGGGAGGGGAAGGAAGAATCTGCTCTCTACATGAGCCTGGCTTTCAGCTCAGTCCCAACTGCAATGACGTTTTCCTTTCACTGTACTGATAAATGAACAAGCTGACACTAACCCTGGATGGGCTCTAGACAATCTGCATATTGAAGGAGCTTCCATAGCACTGAAAAGGCAGTGCAAGGCTCTGGGGCGTTATCCTTCAAGAGCTACAATCACCTTCCCACCAAGGAAAATTGCATGATGGAATGCTCAGGTCCAGCACGGGCATTTTGCTAGGTGGTTTGATAGCACATCACTGGACTGTGTGTAAGAGCCAGTCTGGGCTGCAGTGTTTAGTTTTAGGGACCAGTGTAGTGACCAAACAAGAATATGATGTAGTATTATCCACACAGGTTAGACCAAGCCACGTCCTATCACATGCGGGCCCCTCCTGTATTATGTGGGTGTGATTAAAGCCCAAGACTGGGACACAGTCACTTTGGGATTCAATTTCTTGAGCTGCCACAGACTCTGGGGAAGCCAGGATCTCAGGGTCCACTCTAAAATGGGAAAGGAATAATTCCTTTGTCACTTCTGTCTATTTAGACTGTAAGTTCCTTGTGGCATGGGAATGCGTTTTGCCCAGCATCTGGTGAAAAAGGGGCCTGGATCCCTCGCTGTTAGTTGGACTTTGGTCATACTATAAGGCAAGTAGTTCTAGTAATCACTTCTGTTCAGCCCCACCTTAGGCTGAAGTCTGGAACAGGAAGACTCTAGGGGCTGCTTTGCAAAGGCGAGAGACAGCATGGCGGTTAGCAGAATCAGCGACAAGTACCAAGAGTCTTGGAGAATGTACCAGTAAAAGTTCATCTGTCTCATGCTCTGACAAAACAAAGGTTGCCTTTGCGTTTGACTTTGACACCAGGTTTAGCTGTCAGCCCATGTACACACGAATGACATTTAGGGAAGCAGAGAAGGGGAGAAATCCCTTTTAAGGAATGACTCTTGCTCTATCCAGCTGCGGATTGTTGACTGACTCTTTGGTGACCTTCCACATAAGGCAAATGAGCCTTTAATATGGGAAGCAATAGTCAGTGGGGAATATTAATGAGTGGAATCTAATATTTGTACTATTAACATAATGGGAGCTTTGACATTAAAAACTATGGCATAAACTTGCCAGATCTAGGAAGGTGCTCTGATAGGGTGTAAGCATGGGAGTAATGTGTTACATTGAGAGCTGGCGTAAACAGGTAACTCAAGATGTTCTGCCAGGTGTCACCAGATGGTGCTGTTATAGTCTTAGCATGCCAGCAAATTCTTAGTCTTGTAAAGAAGTGTTGTCTTGTTGTGGTGTTAAACAGAAATCCTTGAGAGATGCTGTGGCAGATAGTTTAATCTCCTTCTTCTTTATATTTGGCAGCACGCTGGGGACAGGGAATGTCCTCGGAAGAGGTATTGGCGTGTGGGCTGGTATTCCTGGAAGAGGGGACTGCCTGTGTCTGTGACGGCCTCTGCTTCAGAACTGGGGTGCATGTAAGTTGCTTTGAATGTATGCAACTTTTGCGTCACTAATTTCTCTGCTGCTGGGAAGCCAACCTGCAAGGACCCTAGTGCTACCACTTGGCAAAGGTACATTAGTGTCAGAAGAAGGGGCAACAATTAATTTTTTTAACCATAGCATGGTTGATTAGGTAGCTAAAAATCCTTCACTGTGCTACATTGAAACTCCCCTCACCCCATCTATCCCAGGTGCAAATGTAGTCCAGACATCCATCTGACCAGTTTTTGCTTACACAGCAGTCTGCCCCATTGTGTAAGGAGGAGGGGCAGAAGCCTGGCCAGTCTTGGTCAGTTTGGGGGCAGGGCTGGGGGCTTGGCTGGGTCCCTCCAGGCAAGTGGGTCCTCAGGGAGCCTGGCTGGGACAGGCCCTGGGCTCGCTGATCGCGCCACTCCCGAGGGGCTGGTGCTATTCCCCACCCCGGGACAAGCCCTGGCTGCATTGCCAGCTCAGCCTGGCAGACACAGTTGCCTCCCAGCAGGGCCGGTGAGTGTGGCTGGATGGCAGGGCATGGGGGCTTGGCAGGGGGTGCTGGGCTGTGAGGGGGCGGGGAAGAACTGTGTGTGTTGGGGTACCAGGGAGCAGCGGTTCTGTGTGGGGTTCTGGGCAGTTGTGGTGGGGCTCTGGGCAGGGGGGTGCTGGGCAGGGCGCTGTGCATTTGTGGCAGGGTCTTATTGGGGGTGCTGGGCACAGCGGGTCTGGGAGGGCTCTGGCCATAGAGAATTGGGGAGAGGGGTGTTCCAGTATTGAGCAAGGGAGGGCTGTGTGGCGCGGCATGGACCCACCCCCCGAGGGGAAGGGGCATGCTGGTAGCACAGGGCCAGGCGGGCCACTGTGCGTCTGGCAACTGCCAGTTTGTAAATAGTGTCCTCGCACTGGGCTGGGCGGAGCAGGGCCTCCCCTGCCATGCCATGCCATGCCCCTGACCGACACCCCCCGTGCCATGATCCATTGCCCCCAGGGGGGCCCACAAATGTTTGGCGCCGGGTCCACAAAAGGTTAATCCGGCCCTGATCCCAATCCAAATCACAAAAAACGGGCTCAGGGAATAATTGCTCTGAGCAGAGGTGAGCATGGAGGAAGACTTGAGCTTACCCCCTTCAAGAGTGTTCTTCCTTCTGTGCTGATAAACAGAGTTTGTCTACCCTCTTTTGGGAGGGGGGGGGCGGCAGCTGTAAAATGGTCCTACAGTTTTTGTTTTGATCCATCTTTCAGCCACATCAAAGACCCACAGTGTATGTGGTTGGGGGAGGCGGAAGAGGATTTCTAATGAAAGGGGGGAGGGGGATTAGTGTAGGCCTCCCTGGCAAGGGGCTGGTTGTAACAACCTCTGTCAAACACACAGATGGGAACAGCATAGCTGAGCATTCCACCCCAAGAACTAGGCATTTGTTCTGGCACCAGCTGAGATAACTGCATGAAATATGTGGGAATGGAAAGGCAAAGTGTCACTTTGATCACTTCATCACCATCCCCGCCACCAGTGCCCAGACTGGCCCCAGAATCCAGCTGGACCATGTTTTGGCCTAATCATGTCTGCACTGGGTCCAGTTTCAGACCTCTGCCATTCCTGAAGCTGGCTCAGCCTTCCACGCTCCGCCTGTGTCAACATCTTCAGCAGGACGCAGATAAGAAGGAAATGTTCTCTGTAAACAATGGAGTGCGGCATGCCAGCAGGCATTCTTAAAATTCAGTGGAAATGTCAAAGATCCTGCCCCAAGGACACCGAGCTGCAAAGAAAAATGCAAGAATTGTAACGTGTTTTCTTCCTCTGAACCTTATTTTTGTCCTCAAGATTAGCAATTAGGCCAACGGTCAAACAGCTTCCAGGCATGTGGAATTGTGTAAAAGGTGACTGCAGGCTCACAGTGGCACAGGGCTTGTGTCTATAACAGGATCACTAAGGAAATCAGGCTTCGCAGGTCTATCCATGGAATGGGCAGTTATGGCAACTGCATTGGATGCTGTCCTACAATGCCTCCCCACCATCCCTCCTCCCTGAGCTAGAGGGCCGAGAAGGCAGTCAAACCCTCCTGGCCGTTCAGGACTGGGTGTGACAATTAGAGTGGGATTAGTGCCAGCTGTGAAGATCATTGGTGCCATCTACAGCTGTTAACTGAGCTCAACAGCTCACTTCACCAACAACAAATCACACCATACTAGGAAGTTTTGGTTACTACTGACCTGGGGCAAATTAAACTAGCAATATCGAGGCAGAAGAGCCAATTTCCAGTCTCCCTTTAGACAAGCGATTTACCACTCCAGCATGAGTCCTGCAGCTTTGCCTTTGTTTCCCTGCTGCTGACAGTTTGCCCCAGGCATGTAGGTCAATGGGAAACTTTGGACCCTCTGTTGAAGACCCAAGAAGTTCCACTCCCACCCCCCGCCTCTTTCCAGAGTTTAAAGGAGAGTCCAATGGAAACACAAGCTGGATGTTCAGCCCACCTCAGCCTGAGGAATGCTTCACTCTGGTGAACCGTCTCAGCCTTACAGAGCAGCTTCACCCTCCCCAGAGCACATTAGTAATGATCTGACTTCTGTGAACTCAATCAATAGTTGTTTGTCCTTACCAGGCCTAAAAGATTCCTGCAGGACTGGATTTGAGAGGGCAGGAAAGCAGGATGTTCTTCCTCCTTGGGAAGCCTCCTGCCTGTAAATGAATGCTAGTTCCATCAGTGGGCCTCTAGCCCAGCTGTACTGTACTGCCTCAGGACTTTTCCTTCGACCCCCTCCTTAAAAGTCTTTCTCCTTCCTGCTCTAAGGACCCTCCCAAGCCCCATGCCTCAGGCCAGCTATCTGGCCCTGATGGAGATCTTGGTCTTACTGCTACCCAGACTTCACTAGAGTGATCCATAGCCTTGCCTTGTATACATTCCCGAAAGCATGTGATTTCCACCTGGGGTTACATCACCCCTCAGCCCTGCCTCAAAACTACATTTCTCTGGGTTCCTTTGCCTTAACAGGCCAAGCCACCAACAACTGGGGCTTCACAACACACCCACATAAAGGCCTCAGCACTCTCCCCACCCCTTACTTTTAAATTTTCCTTTTACAAAACAAAGTGGAACAGCCTCTCTACTGTAATGTTTATTAAATAGGCATTTTTAAAGGGTTTTTATACAAATCATATAAACACAGTTTGATTTGTCTTTTTACACTGAAGAATCACAGTAAAAAAGCTGAAGCTCCTATGTCCTGGCTCAGCCAGTGAATGGTTGACTACCTTGCACTGCAAACCTTGGCAAAGTTCAGCTTCTGCATACAGTTTCTTAAGGTTAATTCCCATGCTCACCTCCCTGCAAAATGAAATCAGCAACATGACAAACACGCCTGTTAGTAATGATTACTTGACACTGGGAGGGTGTGGAGGTAACACACTTCAGCAAAGGTATTATTAACACTGTGTTAGTAGTATAGTTTGGAAAGGGCATTGCTTGAGAACATGGATTAACGAATAGTTCGTATTTGCAGATTAGACTGCACCAATTTTATTTTCCCTGTTAAAGTTACAAGCAAACACAGTTATCTGTATTAGAACAGTAAAGCACACAGCAGCAGTAAGTGAGGTATCAGCTATGCAGCATTATTGGCCTGTTTCTGCTCAGCAAGTGTGCACATTCAGGTCCCTGTACCAACCCACATGGACTAGAAATGCAGGCCTCTTATGGGGTGTGCTTTTCCATTACGCACAGCTTGGCTAGGGCCAACCCAAATTAGTGCCACACTCAGCAGTACTCTCCTGCCTCAGACCAGAGCTACAGTAACACTATTCAGTCCCACGTAATCATTCACGTACACAATACATACAGAGAATTCATGTGTGCGTAAACACACATCGAGCTGACTCTATGTATATACGATCTCTCCCCCTCTAGCTGCCTACTAGACACTGTAACATTACCATTACTATATATTAGTGACTATTGTTTCTATAAGTTGACTTTTATAGGTAGGTGGCTATGGTCATTTCCCATTCACTCTTCCCCTTTTGTGTGATTTAGAAGAGGGATAAAGTTGATGAGTAGCAGCAATCCATCTCTGAAATGGTCTGATACATTTTACTATCACTGTGTGAATAGTTGGTTTTTGTTTGTTTTTTTGGTAGAGTAACAGGTAGTTTGTGTGTGGAGAACGACTAAGTTAAGGTGACCAATTTTTCAAAATCAAAAAACCGGGACGGTTTTGTGCCAATGTGTTTTTTTGTTTGTTTGTTTTTTTTTTTTTTAAGGGACATGAAATAGTCACATAAGACTGCACTTTTCAAAGTGTGTGTGTTAAGTGTCACGCCTGCCAGCTTCCAACTCAACAAGGGTCCATGCTTATTTTTCAGGAGGATTTTTCCAAGTGAGCTCTTCATGAAACTCTCAACAAGAGCCATTAACATTCATGCATGCTACTTCTTTTCTCTTCACTCCAAATGCTGCTCATCACACTGAGCACTTGTCCTAGTGGCTGGCTTGTTCCTAGTACACAGAGCAAATGCTACTCGATGTAGCGTTATGCCCAGAAAACTTTGAGATATTATATATATAAAATTTTGATATCTGAAATGAAAAGCGAAGCCATGTCAGGTGTCTCACAGGAAGATCCTGGAAGACTATATGAAAACAACAGGGTATATGGGCACTTTAAAATTGCTGGCGTGGTTATTGGGTTCTTGCTTTCACATGGATAATCCATGTGCAATACTATGGAAACATTCATATAGATAACCCAGCTGTATTAAAACTGAAATAACATCATTGATGTGAAACCAGGGATTTTTAACCTTTTCATTCACTACATTACGGTCATAACACATCTCTTGTGTGGCATGATCACACAGACACAGAGAGAAAATATAGCCAGACCACTTGCAAGTACAAAGTCAAGACTCTTCCACTAGGCTCTACGCAGTAGAGTGCCAATGAAGAATATATTACAGAGAGGAAGAAGAGGGGAAGGATGAATGCCTTATCTGTAGTTTGATACATCACTGATCTCTAGACATAGAAACAATATGTTTTTCTAAGGCACTTGATTAAAACAAAACAAAACACCACATAATTTTGTTGTTGGTGTTGGCAACAGGTCAGAAGCAGAGCAGCTTCGCTCTGAAGGGATGAGAAGATGACCGCATTTTGGTTTAAACTGTTTACTTGATATCCAAACTGGAGTCTTGCAGCTCATACCTGACTCCAGGGAAAGCAGAAGGAATTACCATAACCCCAAGGAGAAAGAATGGTTACTGCCTTAGTAGGGCAGTCAGTTAATCTAAGCGTGTTGGGTCTCACCCCACACTGCATCCCACTCCACGGGATGGTGCATGATAATAGTTAATTTTTTCCTTCTTATTCTGAGTGGCCATCGTAGTAGCAAAGAATTTAAATATATAGCTATATATATAGCAAGCCATTCTCTCAAAAAAGCCATCTCCAGAATCTTGGGAACCTTACAATTGTGTGTCTTTTGTTTGCTGCAATTTTCTATATATATATACTTTAAAAAAGGATAAAAGAAATAAAAAGAGCCCTTCTGAGGAAGGTCACTGCTGTTTCAATCCAAGTTCTGGATTTAATAAATGGCTCTTATTCATAAATCACTTTAAGGCTCTTCAGCTTCTCTCTGAGGGGTGCGTCTACATGTAAGGTTTCTTTTCTATTTTGCTTCTTAATCTCTTAAGAAAGCACGGCTGTTTCCCTTGGACCCTAAAATTGGTGTAATTCTTTCCACCCCCTACGCCACCTGGATATGGAAAGTTAAAGGCAACAACCTGCTTTCATTTTAGGCGTAGAAACTGTAGCTCGCCAGGTTTGTATAATGTGCACCAAGAACAAATCCCTTAACTGAAAAGAATATCTGAATGGGGAGAGAAGCGGGATGGGCTTTTGTGTGTGTGTTATTTCTAAAGACAGAATGGCTGAGGAATTTTCAGCCACGTATTCGAGAAAGGAAGTGGGAAATAATGATCAACATTTTATTTCTCACATCCAAAAGGTAAACCATCATTTCCTTGGACACGTCTCAATCATTCACATAAAGGGGCAAGGGAGCATCTGAGCTCCTTTCCTTGTTCCAGCACAGTTCTCATAATTACAATAATTATTCAGATACTGTAGTCCTTGCAGATTGTGATCCATTTACTGGAGTCTACAACTGTGGTTTACGACAGAGACCTCATGCCCATGCCCCCTTCTGTATTCCAGATTGGTTTGAGATTATGGCAATCCATTCCCATAGAAAAAAAGTAATCTTCACCAGCTACTCTCGCTGGAATGAAATGTCACATGTGATTCCGGTGCAATCAGTCATGCCTCAGAACAGCACTTCTGGTGGTTCATTTTGACTTTGTGCTTGATGCCATCATACAGCTCAAAGTTGTAGTTCTCCAGAGTAGTGGAGCTTCGAGAGGACAGACCAGTATAGGAGCATGTACAGTAGAGCAATAACCCAGCACAAATGGCCCCTAGGAGTACTCCAAGCGAACTCATAGCTATGATGGTAACTAGGATTGGATCCAGAGTGTAGAGCCAGCTCTTGTCTTTGTCCAGCTTTGGGGTTACTGGAGAGTTAGTAGAGAACAGTGTGGTGTTGTTATCCAGACCAAAATAATCTGCAATATAATTGACAGTTATTAGCCGAAGATCTTTATTCACCTTAAACTTATTTGTAAATAACAACATTTGTGATGGTCAGAGTTAGATCCTCAGCTGGCGTAAATCAGCAGAGCTTTAAGTCAATGGAGCTATAACAATTTACACCAGCTGAGAATCTGACTTTTCAAGTGCAGTTGTCGTCAGAAATCAGGTTCTCTGGGAATCACCTCTCAGGGTCTCTGTGGCCTGTCAAAGCTCCCATACCTAATTTGCACCATTTACAAGTCAAGATGCAATGCGAGCACCAATTAATGTTTGAACGTTCAGTTCTGTTGACGCCACCACAAAAACAGTGTGTTGACTTTGCCATGCTGATAGCAGTAAAAAAAAAAAAAAAAATTGTATTTTTTAGGAACTTAGATGCAACTTGAATGGCACATATACAGTAATAAGACAGCATACATTTAGTTGCAAGGGGCCTGTTTTTATATAACCACTTTTTTTTTAACCATACCACATATTAAGTCCTTGAGAAATAAACAGAGACGGCGTTAAGCAGCATCACTATAAACTTTCCCATACTAAGTACACCTGACTTGACTGAAAGGACTCTAGAAAGCACTCTTCCCACAGGGCCTTACCCTGCACCGCTGGGCTCAACAGGAGCTTTATTATGTATGTCAATGGGCACAGGATCAGGCCCATACGTCCTATGCAATGTCACTGTTGGGGTTCACTGGAGGCAAGACTGTCCCTTGTAACGACAATTGCAGAACATTTCTATCAGTGACTGAGACAATAATACCCACAGAGCACTCTGTGTTCAAAACCCTGTATGGACACACATTTGTTAATTCACACAACATTCCCTGTGATGCCGGGGGATAGGTATTATTATCCCAAGGCTGCCCAGTGAGGCCTTCCAGACTTCAAACCCTACGCTCAGGTGAACTTTAGTCATAGGCTCCACAAAGCCATAAGGGGCAGATTCTCAGGGGCCGTGAGCTGGCTTCAGTGGAACTACGCTGATTCACCGGTTGAAGATCTGGCCCGTTATTTTGATAATCTTCCATACATTATAAACTCTGGAAACAGTGGAGGGTGGACTGGTTTGGGGGGAAAATGGCCAAACCTCATCCCAAATCCTGAAATGAATCCCTAATAATTTTTGAAGATTTGTAAAGTTCAATTATATTTAAGACCGAGCTCTCCCTGCCTGAAGGGGCGCCTCCTTCCTTTGCTGAAATCCACCAACAACCTCTCAGCAATTCCGCCAGTGTCTCTTAAACTGGGCCGGCTGCTGTCTTAATTGTAATACTCTGCAGATCTCAAAGTATTTTACTAAGGAGAGAAGAATATTATTACCCCCTACTTTGGAGAGGGGGAAACCGAAACACAGAAAGATTGATGACTGGCCCAAGGCCACACAAAGAGCCAGTAGCAGAGTTGAACTAAAACTCAGCTCTCCTGATGCCCAGTCCTTTGCTGTGACCACTACACCACACCACTTCTTCAAATTTTGTAAGCAATGTACACTGCTCCTAGTTCAGAGCAGAGGTAATGCATTCTAAACAAGCTGTGATCTGGGGGAAGAGCTGGAGCATGTGAGATTTTAACAGACCAGCCATTCAGAACCCACCGATATACCAGTGGCTCTCAAGCTTTCCAGATGACTGTATCCCTTTCAGGAGTCTGATTTGTCTTGTGTACCCCCAAGTTTCACAAAAGCACACTATTACTGAAAAATTGCTTACTTTCTCATTTTTAACCGTATAATTATAAAATAAATCAATTGGAATATAAATATTATACTTACATTTCAGTGTATAGTATATAGAGCAGTAAAAACAAATCATTGTAATAAATTTTAGTTTGTACTGACTTCATTAATGCTTTTTATGTAGCCTGTTGTAAAACTAGGCAAATATCTAGATGAGTTGATGTACCCCCTGGAAGACCTCTGTGTACCCCCAGGGGTACATGCACCCTTGGTTGAGAATCACTGTGAGAGACAGTGTCACACCTGACAGTCTATCCTCCCAATGATGGTTTATTACCAAATATAGAGAGTCGGTTTGGGATTGGGGGAAGGGAGTTGAGGGGTAAGATGTTTTCTTAAGGGCTGTTAGGATCAGGAAGGGGGAGCTGAGATGAATGGGTCCCTTGGGGATTAGAAGACATAATAATTAGAGATAGGCATGAACTGGAATCCCAGATTCCAAACATTCCCTATCTCTGGGATCTTTAATTGAGTTTTGCAGCATGCCCTTACTCTGTAGAGGTCCAAAGTATTGGATTCAAATACTCCTGTACTTGAGGAAAGTTCAGCTCCACATGCAAAAATTGTGGATTGTACCCTTCTCTAGTAATAGTAAACTGTGATAATACAACATAAGCTTCCCCCTAAATTGTCTGCATGACATTTTATACTCACCGTCTTCATTGTCATCTCCAATGTCTTGCCCGGGGATTGCAAAGCCATCCTCTAACCTTGGGAAGTCCACTAGAATGACAAGACACGGTTTTGGAGTATTGAAAACAGTCACTTTGTTATGAGACCTGCCAGGTTTGAACTATTGCAAAATTTTCCACAGCTATGGCCAAAGCCAGTGAATAATCTTGCGTATACAACAGAACAGGTGCTTCATGGTACATCACATCACATTTTTTCCCCACTAAATGACCAGCTTTTAAGAAAACGAAACAGAGGAAAAAGAAAGAAGCCAGATAATCTGAATACCATTGAAATATTGTCATTACTGTCTTCATAATGGCCATAACTCATTATTAACATGGTCATGGGTATTCTACTTATAATTTTCAATAATATCTTAGTGCCCATCATTAGTTGCCATTAATAGTAGATCCATTTAACACACTCTACATTTCATCATCCCACATACATCTTAGTGGACACAAAGCCCCAATGACCCACTTTCTCTTTGGTTTCAAATAAATTCGCAGTAATTTAAGGAAGTCATGTATCATCATTACAAGTTTTAATGTAAAAGCTGGTTGAGACAGAGTGAGACAGGGAGATTTGTAACTGGGTGTCCATATTCAGGCATTTATGTTAACATATTTCTGATCCAAACGCCTTTTAGTGGTGATATTTCTTTTTATTGTTCAGCATAGATCAAACCCTACTAACCAAATGTGCTTGCCACAGTTGGAGTAGAGCTAAGTTACTTTGCCGTGCAATCTTTCCAGTATTAGCTCTATTCCAGGATAAATGCCTTTGCATTTAAACTTGCCTACATTTTTCAAAACTAGCTCTGATTTTTGGATGCCCACCTGGAGACACTTAAAGAAGATCAAGCTTGCTGAGGGCCCAGCTTTCTGAAAATCAGACTCCTACAAAGTGTCTCAAGTTGCACACTCCAAAAAGAGACACTTTTGAGAATATAAGCTACTGTTGTGTATCTCACACGAGTTGCAAAAGAAGAAAGAGATCAATGTAATTTAAAAAAATCACCTAAAATGACAAAGCCAAAGAAGTGTAGTGTGCCTAAAAAGCAACGTCTCACAGTTCTAAGGGCCTTTCCAAAAATTGCAAGCTACTGATTAAACCTAAATTAATGTGTTTGCCATGAGACTGTTACACAGGTGCCTCTGTTCAGAAATTTGTATCGGGGTCTACTGTTTTCAAGAACTCCAGCTTAATACTATTCATTTAGTGAGTTAGGGCAATTTATATCACAGCATGGCTAAGCTTGACAAGAAGGGGAAAAAGACATACACACATCCATTGAGTAGTTTGAACTGTTACCCCATCAACACTTATCAAGAGGGAAAGAACTTCAGTGCCTTAGAAAACACAATCAATAGTATATCCATCACTGCCTCCATGTGCATTAGCCTAGAAGCCTGGGTGTATATCAGCAGCACTGTCCCCCTCAAGAGCTCCTCCTCTCTGTCCCAAACCGACCCCTAGATTCCCACCACGCCATCAAAGCCCCACCATCGTTCTGGTTAAGGAGAGACTGGGTGCAGTTCTCCTTCCGAACACATCAATGTTGCTCCTACAGGGCCAAATGAGTAAGTGTTGAGATGCTCAAGGTTGGGGTGCCTTAAAGAAGCCAGAATTACTGAGCACTCACCCTATGTAAAACAGGCTTCTTTAAAGGCAATATGAGAAAAGGGAGCTCATTGGGCCATTAAACAGCATGAGGCATGCCTTCCTTCAAGGGCCTGGTGGGCCAAATTCACTGCGGGTGTAAGTAGTTTGTTCCACTGTCTCTCCTCATAGTTCCTGGCCTCTTCAGGAGACATGAATCCAGAACTGGGAACTTACCAGTGGGTGTTTACATAGGAAAGCACCACCACCACTAGGCCACTGTGGCAATCCTGCCAAGAATGTTCAGTACCACCATCATTATCGTCAGTGCAATGAGCTCCACATCGAAATGGTATCATTTATTGGGCACCATGGCTTTAAATAGAAAGCTCCTGCCTGGAGAGGTCACAGAATGCAGAGAGAAGGAGTACTTGTGGCACCTTAGAGACTAACCAATTTATTTGAGCATGCCACAAGTACGCCTTTTCTTTTTGCGAATACAGACTAACACGGCTGTTACTCTGAAACCTGTCAGAATGCAGAGAGGCACTTCTAGACGGTAATTCAGACGCTCTGTTTGAATTGGGCATAAAGGGAGGTTGAGAGACCTGGATGGAACAGAACTATCTATGTCCCCCAGCCTTTGGGCCTGATCCCAGAACCTACTAAAGTCAATGGGAGTTTTTCATTGACTTCACCGGGCTTTGGATCAGGCACCTTATTAGCAGCAAACAATAACACAGATACTTTGAAAAGCCTGTGCGTTTGGGATTTAACTTTCATAGCATAAGGATATAGAATGGAATGGTTCACCTATTTACAGGTCTCTCACTCCTGACCTAGAGATAAGCCCAATATAAAACCTCAGGTCCAAATCACCTAAACTTTGGAGGAGATCAGATCTAATGTTTTGCAGCTGGAGTTGATGCAGGTTTGAGCTCTATATGCTCAGACTAGGCTGAACTTAGATCTTTGAGGTGGTGGCTCAGCAGTACTTCAGCTCCCAAGGACAGATTGGAGACTGATTGCAGTGTCCTTAACACTGGTGTTAATGCTATTATTTTCCCACATAGTCATTAGCACAGCATTTCTCTTCACCTTCATTATTCAAGTAGTTAAAAATGTTTCTTTTAATTTTCAAGTGAAGATGGGAATACGAACACAGAAGGGACCGCTTGTGTCCCTCATAATGATCAGTGATGAATGTAGAGAGAGAGAGAGAGACCCAATTAATTGAGCTGAGGCCCTGCTATCAGTAGCTTTTCAAAAAAGAAGGAGCAAGTTCACCTGATTTCTGAGCACTTCTGGGACTTGACCCACCCATATGGAAACCTTTTAGGATCTGAAGAACTGCCTGAGGGCCTCGTGCAAGTATTTGGAATTGTTCATGTACAAAAATCACTCAGAAAGTACTTAAAGGTAATCATCAAGCAGAAGACAAGAGGTCAAATTCTGCTGTCAGTTTCACCCATGCAACCATTTTGAAAACATAGATAGCATGAGCATAAATTAAGCTAGCATTTGGCCCACGGCCTGGAAAGGGAATCGCTGGACTCCACTGAGGCAGCAGAGTAGATGCCTGTCTCAGGCTCTTCCAAAGGCTATTCATTTTGTCCAAAAACGCATTAGAAACTCAACTCTGTTTTAGTTTCTTCTCAACTAGTTTTGGTGAGCAGGACGGAACTAAAAGTGTATCGGGTAATCAACACTTTTGAAAGAACATCAATTTTCCAAGCCTTAAAGGGAGAACTGAGCACTGGGGAAAACTTGAATAAAGAGAACGTTTATACAAAAAGCTATTTACTCTGCTAGCAATTGTCTCTATTCCCTTTGCTAATATTGCTGATATTTGTGTTTGAAGAGCTTTCTCCCACACAATCCATTTCCTCTTTCAGCACAGTCCTGTAGCAGAGCCAGGATCCTTTATTTATCACACAGCATTCTATTGCCATCAACTTGTTTGTGATGTCATGTATCTGCTCCAATGCATTGTCTATGGACGAAACCAAAAAAACCCTTCTTTTTTCCATACCAAGTAATTAGCAAAATCAGCCTTGGCTGTTTGGTGGCCCGTGGCAGCTGAGACCACTAGACTCACATCCAGTTCCTACTAGCTATGTGCTCCCATCGCAGAAAACAGCCCTGCATTTGGCATTAATTAGCACCTTTGTTGACAAGTCTCAGCACAGATGTGAAGACCTGGGTGGGCCATAAAAACTGACCCCTTGGACGTACTCCCTCTGTCAGGTTCAAGGCACGTTGTCAGAACCATGACCTGCCCAAGTGTTGTGCCACGCCCGTCATGTGCATGAACAGGATTTAATTCACCTCTCCTGTGCATAAACAGAAGGCTTTCATTCTTCAAGGGCTATCCATCTGCTAGCTTTCACATGTACTCAATTTACTTGAAAATTTTAAATGAAAAAATCATTAAGGAAAGTTATGCAAGAAAGTTAAGTGAAACTCTATTTAAATATGATGCATTTGAAAGCTTTGCCCGGTGTGAAAGGCCCTTTTTAAGAAAAATGTGTTAAATTATGGCTACGAACCTCCAGCTATTCACGCTGAAAAGCAGTAAAGATGAAGCCAACGTAAGTGATGGCTTTCGAAATGGCCGGATGCCTAGCAGAGACGGTTATCTATTGTATCTGAGATCACTGCCAGCAAGCTAAAAGGCTAATTTATGAATCCTGAAAAAGGAAGATGAGGAAGTTTTAATCAATGTGGTTGAAACATCTTAAATAGAATGAACATACCAGCTCAAGACGTGGGGCTAGCAGGACAGAGGTTGGTATTTTCAGAGACATTAGGAGGCTAAATGTACATTGCTTTAAAAAAGTGACTGACCATAATGATTGCAGGGGATGTGACATAGGAGGTAATGTGCTGACCTTTTTTGCTGCTTTTGCTCAGATTGGGCTTATGTTGTAAGTGAAAACAGTATAGAGATGTCAGTGTAGTCTGGAGCCGATATGCATGTGTATGTCTCAGTCAGTGTGCTGGGTAAATGGCTTTAAGCCCACCCAACCAGCCCCGCTTTGGTCTATGAAGTTCGGTTTCAGTGCAGTGGCATTGTTGAGGGAATGACACTTGTTCACAACACCTGACATCTCAAAACCAGCATGCCTACCTACAACATAGGCCACAACAGAACCACGCTCAGTAAATTTTGCATCACACCCATACATTTCTCTCTAGGGGGCCTGTTTCTATGTTTAGAAGGCCAGTTTTCCAGACCTCAGATCATTCTTGTAGCTATTTTCTGAACTCTTTCCAATTTGTCAAGGTTCCTTTTTGAAGTGTGGATGCCAGAACTGGACACAGTGTTCCAGTAATGGTCTCACTAATGCCCTATACAGAGTTAATATTACCTATCTCCTCCCATTTGATATCCCTCTGCTCATGGATCCAATGTTTGCATTTGCTTTCTTAGCTACAACATTGCC